TATTGACTTCAACCAATTTGTTGTTTATTATTTACTTAGGGCATATTGACATGAGTAAAGATATGAAATTAATTCAAAGAACTGTTATGTAAAACGTTTTCTTATGGACGTTAATTTATCATATAACTTGTTTTTTCTTTACTTGGAAAATCACCGCTAAGTAGTTGGGGAGCCACCTTTATTATCACAACTATTATCATTACTATTATCATTTTTATGACAGTTATAGAAGTTGTCATTAGTAACAGTAATGCTAGATAGAGAAATAGTGGCCGGCAGCAGTGATAAACTACAAACAAAATCTGACTTATTTGATCCATCACGCAAATCAGGTCGCTAATAGCAGTAATTGACTAAGTGTAGGGTTACGTATTCAAGTTTGTAAAATTGTATTTGATTCAGCGTGGACTCTCTATAATTTATTTCACTATCTCATATATGTGCGTTATAAATGACCAATTCACAGCGAAGCATGATACCTGATATGCCAGACAAACAATGTTGGAAAATGTTTAGAAACAGTGTAACAAAGCGTGGCACCATCAACAGCTTGTAAAGATCTAAAAGTGTTTCCGTGCTGTAGAATGTTTTGGGGGTTGCCTATGAACTCACGGAATAACGAAGTCCACTGATTCAACTTTATCAAACGAGTTTAAAGGTGACAGTATGGCTAATATGGGGCGAGAATGGAGTACGTTAAACACAAGAAAACGAGTTTGCTAAGTTATATCCAAATAGTAATACATCTGTGATCAGAGCTGGGTAATTGTATTCTTCTCTTTAGGAACACTTCATCGCGGCAGCATGTCAGTAAATATGAAATCAACACCGAAATAATAATTCTTCCCCTTAAAATCACCTTACGGTTCACTGACCGATTATGCTTCATCAAGAGACTACAAAGTTCCATTCAAAATAATCTCATTACTGCTTTCAAAAATAGTTTTGATTTTGACAATACATTTCACTTTTTCCTCAACAAAAATTCGTCTATCATCAATTATTCATGGACAAACCTGAAGCACGCCGTCGGTCAATTGCATAATGTTACATAATGTCGGGTCAAGGTCAGCCACGCAATGGACTATGGACCGAGATATGCTTGTAAAACAGACGTTATTACTACTATCAAAACTATAACTCTTTTCTTTCCTTACTTCCTGCAGTCCGGCCGACATTTAAGGCTGTTTAATTCTTCCACTAAATTTTAGTACAAAGCTGATCGGCTAAGAAATGTGGGAAATCCATCATCGTGCATTATTTAAAAATAGCAAGTTGGTGTTGTCTGCCGGGTAGGTGGTAGCCTTTGTTGTATTGTGACCCAAAGAAAAAGGTATATCAGGCACGCATAATTGACTGGTCTGATAGGCATTTTATGTCAATTTGTGTTTGTCGATCTGACAACCAGCCCAAGAGGAAAACATATTGCAAACTAATCACAGCGAGCAAGACACGGAATCTTCTCACACAATTAACTCGACTGTGCTTGACTTCAAAGGTGCTCAAAAACTGCATGTGTGTAGTTGTTTTCTCCGACTTAAAAATGGCGGCATTATGCACCTTCCTTTCAAACAAATTCAATCAATGCGCATGCCCGAGGTGTCACACTTCATTGATGGAAGAATGAAGAAACTGGAAATGAGTAGCCTGCCATTTAAACTCGCACGAAAATGATAAAGAACGAATGCGAGAGGAAAACGGTAACAAAAAAGACGTTGATGAGCTCCAGCCATCTTTTTCTTTGTAGGACGAATATCACAGATGCACATTGACAGTTAATCATAATTTAAAGCGTCACTAGACTGAAATATCGATGACTGATATTTTGACAGTTGGTATAAAGTAATAATATCTCTCTAATTTCATAGTTCAGGATAACCAAAGATATCCTGTCAATGGACTGCACTATACCATCGAAAATTAAATCGCTCATCCTGTTAGAAGAAATTTCTTACACTCTTTGTACTGTTGATATTTTCCTTATTCCCCTTTTTATTACACAACTTACTACCTTGAGAACTAGCTCAGATCTTAGGGAGAATGCTGGTCACCAGCTTATATGGTGACATTTACTGAGCTGTCAATCTTCATCCATTGACATCATTTCTCATTTAGTTAGCGAATCACGTTACGAGAAACAGTTCATGCATGCTAAATATGTACCTTCGAGATGTTTACGCTTACAAAATCATTTTTTTACCTTAAATTTCTTACTCTTACGGTCAAGGTCGGGCAAAACGAAAACAAGATTGTCAATACAAAAATTATAATGAACTTACTGACAGAATTAGAATCATACTTAAAAAGATATTTTAAGAGAAAATAGCCCTCGAAGACCGTTACACAACAACAGAATAAACAGAAAAATTCGGAGAAGAAAGGGCGTACCCAAGGTACGGCCTCTGAAAGAGCTAAGTGCTATTTGTATAAGTTACCTGATTAGAAATTCAGTGCGGAGGATGAAAAGTACTATTTATTTACACCTTAAGTCACCTCTAAGAAAAAAAGGGGTGTCGAAAGAGCGAAATTAAAACTTAAGACTTCGCCATGGACTTAACCTAACAAAACGAGAAGATCAAAGAGGTTAAAAATAGGAGAAGGGTTATTTCCAGGAACGGGATCAATTTTTGTAAGGTAAAGTCATTTTCTTCGTAATTGAACATCTTTTTGCAACATGATGGATTTACCCTAATATTTAAACCACAAATTGTAGTCTATGTAGAAACATCTGCTCCATGTCAAATTCACGACCGCAACAAGAAAAGGTGATCGAAATTCTACCCGTGAGATAAGACCGCCAAAAGGAATAGGAAATGATCAACTGGCTTATCATAACTTTTTTTAACCGAGTGGCTTATGGTATTATATTATTTCCATTCATTTTCCGAAGACTTAGGTCAGCTAAAAACACAAACACAGAAAATTCTTGCTGGATGCCAACTTTGTCTTTCAACAATCCTTATCACGTGACGAACAACAAAGCAGACTGAGTGATTGCCAACAGCTTAAAAAAAAATTGAAATTTTATAAAGTTTGATTGACTTGTTTTCATGTCACACAGTAAAGTATTCTCTTTATGTCACCGGGCGGTTATAAATCAGAAAGAACATATCTTATCTGAACGAGAGCCATACTAACGTGTTACCTTCCGTCAGATATAATCATGTAGTTACATGGCTTGTAAAGGAGATCAACACTTCTTTGTTTCGAAATACTTCATCGTTATCAAGGCCAGCAAGGGAAACTAAGCGACTCAAAATAGCAACTTTTTAAAATTTGATCAACCCCTTTATGGGACCTAGTCATCTTACATATTCCATTAGGACTATCTTAACTTCATTTTCCTATAATATAGGCACATAAGCCACTGTAACTTTCCTTGAAAGTAAAAGCAAGGAAAAAAAGACACCCACCGAAGAACTATTCTTGATGATTAAAACATACAACGCAATTTTGTTTGATAGTTAGTTGGCACCAATAAACGTACGGTGCCGATATAGATTCAGTGGCACGTATAGGGATCAATTACGTGGAGCACCGCGAGTTTGTCACGACATCATTTTCATAAAGACAGTTCAACGGTGCACATGTAAGACGTCCAGAAGTTTCAAATCATAACGATAAAACCTTAATTGTAATGTCTACACAAACCATCACAAACAGTTTTACCACTGGTTACTGATAATTCTAAGTTTGTATTTTAAATCGAAAGGTGCAGTTTTCTGGACCAAAGCTTGTGTAATATTGTATCTTACTGCCGGATTCCGGATCCATTATCTGCGAAGAAAAAGGATCTCAGGGTCGATTTCCTGAGGATATCATCATTGAATTGTCTTTATTGCTGGAAAAACTCAACCATTTCATGATAGCAGTCAAAATCATGGTTTAGGAAACAGTTCTAGTTTGTTCACTTGTACGCCAAAGTAGTATATAGGTTCCATAGCGACAAATCGCATGTTTTTTCTCATCGACATTTTGTTTGATCGACCCCTCAGACTTTCTTTAGACATCTTATAGAGGTGACGTTATAGCATAACTTAGCTACGTGCCTCCAGAGGGGCACCGAGGAAATGAAATTTTCCGCTGCACGGTATCCGGTTACGGGTATACCTGAGCCTAAGCTCACTAGAAATTGTGTAACTAGCTTTGTAAAGCAGTACGACTTGAAATGCTTGGTGTACTCCAAAATGACGACAAAGTGATTCATATTTGACTCATAAACCGGAAAGTACTTTGGGCAACTATTCATCTCTTTGTGTTGGAACTGTTACTTTTACTACAAACTACAGAGCCAATATCGACCACAGTTAAATGAGTGAAGTAATACTGAAAAAGGCTATAAAATCAACGAGTTATGAGAAATATCAATTGGTCCTTTCTCTTTAAGATCATCGAGCACTGAACAGACAAGGAGGTGAGGGACCATTCATTTCAAATTAGCGTGAAATCATTTCAACCGGGAAATTTAATGTGAAGTCATCAATATAGAGTAGCTAGACAGATTATTCTAGACGGCGCTCAAAATGAAAACAATATTCCGACCGCAATAAGTCACGCTAAATGAAACGACAGTATTTTTCACTTAAAATTGACAACTGAACTAATAAACCGCTCAAAGGGAAGTTTGCTAGAATCAAACTATCCTCATCGAAATTTCTAACTTCCTTCCTCTTGGATTCAAGGAGCTCCATACTCAAACATAAGAAATATTCAGTCATGATAGTTATTGACGTGACTGGGATGACCCTCATAAGGTTCTAGAACCAATTGGATATCTTGTATCTAAAACTAAGTAACTTTGTAACAAGTAAACAAATTGGTAACTTCTGGAATACTGTTTATAAGCTGCCTATTAAAGATTAAATCGCTCCGGAGGTAAATGAAAGAAGCTTTTGCGGATCACTCTTATGAAAGGAAAAAAGGGTAAACTTCTAGAAAATTTACAGAGTTGTTTTAAAACATCTCGCGTGCGAATCAGTTATTCATGCACGTTTGAATTTCCTTGTGGGTGTACGCTGGATCACTGCGCACGGCTGTAATCTCAGTTCGATGCAGAAAGCGTGGCTTCTAAAGCTCAGAGAACACGTGCTTAATCATCCAACTGGAAAAACCACCACAGGTCAGAAATCTCAACAGTATAGCGCGTTTGTTTTATTCAGACGATGGAACGAGTGTATTTATTTCAACTCGGAAAAGCAATACCGCACTTATATTGAAGATAGTTCTTCGTTCGGCATTCGTCTGTCCACGAATGGAAAAGAACAAGCGATGGAGGCCATTCAGAGGCAGTCAACTCACAAAGCAATCAAAGAAAGCTCTACAGATCAGTTTACTGGCATGGTGAGTATAAACACACTTTGTTTTGAATCATAGTTTTGAGGTCACTGAACTCATTTTCCTCGGTTCATATCTCTATGGGGCAGACGCAGGTTATGTAGCACCCATACTATGGAGGCCTATTTTCTTACTGTGATCTGTAAGAACGATTCAACTTAACGTAAGCATGAAGGTAACAAATTGCTTTATTGCCCATAATTGCTCTATTTTAAGTTCACACCATGCTTTGGGACAAGGCTAGTGATGAATTAACTTTCGTTTAACTGTACAGTTAGTCGAGGATATTTAGAACAGCGACAGCAATAGGTAGGCAAGAGAAAACATCAACATATCATGGGACAAATTCTTTATATTGCATTCGCCTGTTTTTCCCCAGGGAAGACAAAATTTGCCAAAACTCTACCGGAGAAATGACGAGGTTGAAACAATATAAAACAATTTATGAGTTGAGCAATCATGATCTGATTTAATGTCATGTCTCACAGCAGTGCTTAATATAATTACACCGCACATTGGTTCCTGGTGCTGGACCTATCTCGAAACAGAACTTTTTCGAAACATGATAAAGAAGAGCTCCAGAAACTGGACTTTCACACTTCAATGATTTCTGAGATACAATTAAGAAATTATTCAATGAATTTTTCCCCCTCCCCCCTCCAAAATAAATGAATAAATAAATAGTTGACGTCTTAATCTCAGGGAACAAAGGACAAGAGGTTCAATGTACAACAACTGAGTGTTTTACCGTACGTAGACAACGCGCCTCTACGCTACAAAACGCCTTTACACTTGTGATGTTGTCTCTAAAAGCTTTGCTACAAAACGCCTTTACACTTGTGATGTTGTCTCTAAAAGCTTCGTTGCTACTCTATCAATACTTGCTTTTAGACACCACTATTGGTTTTTATAACTCAATAGACAGTGCCGTCAATATCCCAATGACACTTTCTGTCATTTGATTATTTCGTTATTTTTTAGACGTGTAGATATTTCTTTACAACAGGAGTTATATGTTCAGGAGTGTTATAGGCTGTTGTGTGAGTATTACGGTTGTAATTGTAAGTAAATTAGTCTATTTACCGTGGTTATGCTCGGTGTTAAAATCGGCCAAGTTCAGCCACGATCAGATCATTAGTTACTTGTGGTGTATGTTAAGTTGAAGTTGAGTGAGAAATCTGTATCCACACAAATAACTTTCAGCTTTTGTACTCCAGTCTTTGCTGAATTGATTGAGAGGCCAGGTTGATTCTATCAGTTTGACAATCACGTTTCAGTATTGGATAACATTTTAAGTCTTTGATAATAGACGTAACGAAGATCGCTAGTTTTGCTTTGTGTATCAATTTCGTTCACTCGGTGTAGATAAATATACAGGCCTAGTGTCTCTGATCATTGTTTAAAGACACCAAGATAAAAAAAGGTGTTCGAATAGCAAAAGTGGTCCGATTTTGTTACTCAAATGGTTGTCATTACCTAAAATGAAACAAAGACTGCTGTAGCTGATCTGATGTGTGTGGGGTTAGGGTTACATGTGTAGAGAGCATAACAGGCGGTGATGCAAATAAATTTCAATGCTCCCATAAAACTATAAGACGAAGTGTTAAGTGTATATTTATAGTCTGGGTCGTGAGCTGAAGTTGTCCAAATGCGCAACAAGCGAACGTTTTAAGAATGGAGCTCGCAATATAACAAGGAGATCGTTGAGCGAAGCCTAAAATAGGTCAGGAGTTGCTTTTTGATTTTAGGGTTAAGCGTTAGTACCCAAAGGAATTTTGACCTTCGAGAAATGACTTGTTTATCTCCCTAAATCATTTTCAAAATAACCTAGTTTAATATCTGTCGGAGGTTTAAGTATTTCTCTGTGCCACCAACTACCATTCAAGGTCTAGATAGACCTCTGACAGTGCCTGTTACTCGGGGCGGTGAAGGTCGGTAAGACGCCTTCTGAAGAAGGCGTCAGTTTTCAGTAAAAGTAATTGAGATTTTAAAACCACCAGCGTAGTCTTTTGTTACGTCTGCACCTGTGCTCAGGATCTTTTGGGGAATCAATTAGATAGAAATAATAAAGAATCATTCAAAACGTGCTTCAGAATATCGCGAGGTACTGTCTGTTGTCATATCTCATGTCACTTGTCCAAGATAAACGGATGATACTAAGAAAAGAAAGCCCACGTTTTGTTAGCAAAACAAAAGTACATTTTAACTTTGTCATCATTACGAGTATAACTCTTATCATACACCGACAAACAAGAAAGAAGACAAGGGAGAAGAGAAAGTTAACGCTTGGTTCATTTAATTGGCAAAAAGCAAAAATTAGTGAGCAGTCACTCCCTGTGAAAGTTGGCTCACCGTCTCTTTTCATCCTTTTGCTCGAATGTGTAATCATATTCCTTGCGATTCGACTCGTAAATATTTTGGAGAAGGAAAGTAAATAGGGAACATTTCATGCAAGATTTCGATCACAAAGTAGGTCAGCATCTGATATAGGAAGTACGGACTTAGGACAAAAATGTTAGAGGGGCTAACCTTTCTGTACTTGTTGTTAATCTTAAAGGCTGAAACTGAATGAAAATATATATTTATCACTTTTTGAACTTTGGTGAAGGGCTTGGCCGGGATAAGTACAAAGTCACCACACGTTCATTTGTCTTTGCATTTGGCTGTAACTTACATAGTTTGTTGAAACATTCCTTCTTAAAAGTGGTGGGCATGTCACCTGTGGGATCTGGTGTTGATATGGTTGATTTTTTTTATCAGTTTCTGAGTTGATTTTGTTGTTAGTTCTCCTTCTTTGTCTCGAATTTACTCCAACACATTAAACTCCTTACTCGATCTTTTCAACGGTAGACAAAGGGCATTCCAATGGAAGTGCCAGTCTTCATTCATTTGGCCTCTCACATGACATCCAAAACGAAACACTCTTTGCCCAATATACTAGCAGAGTTTGACAAGAAACTACAAAGATTCAGTAAATAAAAACACGACTAAATCTAAACAAACGTCGAGAGATGGTGAAACCTTCATGTTCCATGTCTAGTACGACAGCTGGGTTAGGTCAGTGGGTTCCGGAGCATTGGCTTTATTGCTGCGTATGAAAACGATAAAGAGATAGAAGTAATTTTCAACACGTTATATTTGATTACACAAATGCGACAATTATTTCTTGTTATAATTACCCGAACTGCTTTGTCTTTTTCTGTTTTTTAATTGATAACATGACTTGACAATGAACCACATTATGAGGACTGGACTGGCTTGAAAGGTTTATAGATGAAACTTAGTTTTTTTTCAGTTAAGACATGGAGCCAAATAACAAATGAAATAAGGGTTTTCGGAAGTTTGTTGCAATTGGTGTTGCAAAAGGAGAGGACTGAAGAAGAAACTTCCCTCTCCGACAGCACTTGCAGGAAAACCTTTGCTGCACGGCCACAGTCTATTACTGGGGGGGGGGGGGGTCATCCACTTTAATAGTATAAGAAAAGACAAAAAACTTTTCTTCCATCTTTACTGACGTAGACAAATGAGCCCTTAGGGGAGTTATGCTCGCTCAGATACTAAAATATATTTAATGAGTCAATTTTTGCACGAACTCGTGCGGAGCTTCCGATTCTAAATCTTTACATAAGGAACGAAGCTATGTAATAGGAAGAAGTTTCTGTCTTTTCTTTTCATGACACATGAATGATCGGTAGAATATTTTTTTCTGAGTAGCGATAGATCGCCACCATGAAGACTCTAGAAAGGTCACTATTGAAAGAGGTGAGCTAAAGGGCGTATAAATTTTCAACCGATACACGATGACTGCTGCGTATGATACGATCGTCTGCGTCATTCGTTAAATTTCTTCAGTTTTTTTGGCAAACATTAAAGATATTTCAGGCTTTTTGTACCCAAGAACGCTCCTCGTCAGCACTGTAAATTGAAATTATAGTTGTCCTTCTTAAACACCGAAAATCGCTTTCGTGACAAATCGTCAGCCTGGGCGGTACAGACGCATTCGTTAATTAAAATCTCACATTTGTTTGCGGAGTACAAATGGACTTTGACTTAAATAGCCACACGCTTCTATTTTAGGTGTTGGTTGCAACTCTACGCAAGATAGTCTTTCGAACTTTTCTATGGAGCGGTCAGATTCGCTTTGTCTAGATCTATTTGTCATGAGGAAGGAGGCAATATTTTTACCGAGACCTACTTAATTCTTTGTATAAGGTGTTTGTTCCATCAACAGTTCTTAATCTTGAATCACGTACATACAACAGCACGCGTCCTTGAGCTGATGTTATGTAATTCTTAAAGCAAGACGCTCATTGTTGAGGACACACTTAAACGGATATTGTTTAAAAAGGCTAGAAATGGTAACATTTAGAAACCTAATGACATAAATTTTCTATGATTAAGTAACAAATGCCAGACTCCAGACCTTTCGGTACAATTTATCTTAGACACCGATTCACTTATCACTCCTCAGGTCGCGCCTAGTGGTTCATTAATCTGTGACAGTTCTTTTAAGGGTTACATAACAACAGAATTTATCATGAGATTCTAGTCATCAATTTACCATCTGTTTCACCTATGCCATCCACCCTCCGTCGGTAAAATTCTTATTAGATATTTAATCAAGATTAGTTCTCAGTTGACTGTGAAGAGGCACGCTGCAAAAAATTTCCAGCAAAGCTCTTCCTTTTTCCAGCAGTTTCATTTCCTTTTACAAAATAAGCAAAAAAGGTCTGAGAGACAAACAAATAGAAATAGTGGCAGACATTGCAAGGAAAGAAGCTTCTTGTAAAGCTTTTATTGCTGATTCAGAGAAAGTGGATTGAATAATGTCTGATTCTGAAGACACGACTTCCAAAGGGGGTGGTTTGGTTGGTACCTCTTTGCTGGTAAGTTCAGTTAAGTCAGTGACAGAAATAGGAGTTTTTAAACTTTTTCTTGGTATTAACATCTTTATCATGCGGATAATAGAAAAAGAGGGGCTACCTTAACTTCGAATGCATACAAAA